AGGTGTACTAGTGTACAGGTTAACTGGTGCACAGGTGTACTAGTGTACATTTTTGCATAAATATTTAATAAAATTTAACTCTCAGAGATTATTTACCAAAGATTCACATCAAACATGATACTCAGTCATTTTTAAATGGTTATGGTCAGTTGAACAATATATAATAAATTGTACTTAAAAATACTAACAATCTAGATATTTCGTCTGCATATTAAAAAAGTTCAAAAAGTATGTCTGAAAACTGTTCCAAAATAGACCAGAAATGTAGTTTACTGTATTACATGTCAGCAGTGTAAATTACAATATATAGGACAGACAACAAGATCTTTAGATGAAAGAGTGAGAGAACATATTGGTTACATTAGAAATCTCCATACAAACCAGTTTAAAGGAAAACATTTTAACCTTCCTGGACATGAACTCTACCATCTAAAAGTTAGTGTTCTAGAGAAGGTTTGGGACCTCGGAAGAAGTTTACTTGAAGTATGAGAATCTAAATACATTAGAGATTTTATGACTGAACTCAGAGGAATTAACAGAAAAACATAGTTTTTATTAAATTGTAAACTGTAATTCAGTATCTTTTTTTTTAAAAAAAAAGAGTTGTTTATGTCCAATGCCATCCCCCCCCTCCCCCTCCCCCTGATTTACACAAAAGTTCGTTAATTAGTTCAACCCCCACCATCACTTTATGCACATACATCTAAACAGTTTGTTTTTAACCTTTGTGACAGAAACAATCTTAAGGAATAATAATTGTCTTAAAACATTTTTTTTTTTAAAGTGAATAATTGCAAATTATCTTTTTTCCATCTGATAATCTGAGTTCGTTTCCCTTATGTCCATTTGTCAGCCCAAATTTTTATTTTGAATAATCTCTTGTTTGTTTATTTTCCTGTGATTTTTAACAAGCATTTTTTTAATATTTTTTTCTCAATTTTGATGGTTATTATATCGTTAGAACTGACGAGGGTCAACCCAGACCGAAATATATTTTAAATAAATGTGGAACTAACATCTACTTTTTTACTCTACAGAGGTTTGGTCCATCACCATCACTGAATTTTAAACTATTTTCAATTTTGAAAAATATTAACATGTGTCACATGTAGTTACATTTTTCACGGGCTTTTTAAATATACAAATTTTTTCCCTGTAGCTAAACTATTAAAAAAGTAATTAAGCATATCTGAATTTTTTTAAACACCGAACCCCCGTTTGATTGTCCTCCACCCTACCCTATGCATTCAAAAAAAAAATTTCCTAAATTTGTTTACAACTATGATGTTGAAAAAGTGAACAAGTTTCAGCATTCTAATGCAAGCTGTTTTTAAGATATTTAGAAAAAAACACAAGGGGGGGGAGGGTAGAAAATACCCCCCCCCTGAAGCTGTGATATGGTAAAAGATTTTCAGGTTGTCATTAAAGCCTTATCCTTTGTGCGTAACCCTGTATATTTAAGATTCAACACTTAATGCTAACAGGATACACTTACTAGATGTGAAAATAGAAATGCAGAAAATCAATGATAAACAATTTTTATCAATTTTCATAAATACGATTTTAAACTGATATATTAAGAAATTTTTGTTTTCCTGATATCATTTACTAGTTGTTCCTTATCTATTAAATAAAATAAAAATTTGTGACACATTTACTCTTAGAGTANGATACTCTGTTAGAAACCCAACAATCTCCTTGATGCGAAAGGGAAAAAAATCAATTTTTATCGAACCAAAATGGAACAAAATTTTGGCAAAAGTGGACAAAATTTTTGGGAAAATGAGGCCGAAAATTTCGTCGAAAGTACATCGAAATTCATGAAAATTTTAATGAAACTGAAAAAATTTTGTTCGTTCATTTTCACGAATTTTTTTCAACAAAAATTTTGTTGAACCTTAGATTGCATGCTCAGTCTCAACATGATTCTTCTTTTTTGGTTAACCAAAATCATTCCGTTCCGTTCTAGAACAAGGGCCTATAGCTAGATCGTTCTGTTCTTGTTCCTTTTTTTTCAATCATTCAGTTCTCACTTCGTTCCATACAGTTCTCATTCTGTTCCATCCCGTTTTGTTCTTAGTCTAAGAACAATCATCACGTTCCATTCTGTTCTTGGTGTTCTTAGTCAACGAATGTTTCCAAGAACGTTTCTATCCCCCATTCCGTTCTTAGTCAAAAAGATAGGAGTTTGAAATTTCTAGTAATTTGAAAAACATTTCTGATTTAAAAAGCATTCCTGACTTAGAACGCATTCTTGATATTTCGAATGTGTTCCTGATTTTAAGCGTTCTTTTAAGCTAATATCCGTTCCATTCTTCTCCTTTCCTTTCCAATATTTTTAAGAAGTGTGTCTATTTAAAAAATGTTAAGCTTCTTAGTAATGTAGCCATTCCCTCCCTCCCTCACTAAAGGGTGGTGTAGACCACCGGCCCCTCCTCACCCCTGTTGAAAGGGAACAAAAATTGGAATGTGTTGATAAAACAGGATCATAGAAGCCGTCAAAGATGGTCAACTAAACCTAAGCTTGGCTATTCTTCAATTTGTTAGGTTTTCATTGGTTAACAACCCATTTAATATGTATTTTTGCAGTTGTTTAGAAAAAAATTGAAGTTGTTGATTTTCAGAATTTTCAATAAAATTCCATCTTTTTTGTTTGTTTTCTAAGTAAACAATAGTTCAATTAAACTGTTTGTTCAGTGAAATAGTTTTTAAAAAATGTGATATATAAAATGTCTCTCTTGAGGGGGGGAGGGTTTCACTTATGGTTTTATCCCAATAACTTACAAATGGTTTTAACATAGAGTGCTCACAAACATCTTTACTTTTCCAACTTCAAAATTGATAACAACTTTTAAAACTTTTTTTGAAAATGTTTTTTTTTATTTCCAGGGGGGGATACAGGAGGGGGGGGGGCGAAGGACCTTTGCACCCCCCTGAGATTTCAGAATAGCTCCTCAATAGGACTAGAAAACCTAGTGAAGAAAACCTAGTGCAAAACAGGAAAAATATCTATCTTAAAAAAATGTTGTTAGGTATGTTTTTGTTCCGAAATAAATCTAGCACCCTCCACACTTAAATCCTGTATCCGCCACTGTTTATTTCAGCTACAAATCTAAAATTAACTTATTTCATGGAGTTATTTCATGGAGTTAATAACATGTGACTCATATTAATATTTGTCAAAACTAAAAATAAACATTTTTTTCTTTTTTGGGACATACTTTTTGAATGTTTTTAAACCTCTCTTGCACACTTACAAACAAATAAGAGATCTAATCTTTTATTTAATGATCTGGTCTTGAAAAATTGGATTCAGGACATGCATTATTTGAGAAAGTGCATTTTTTAAGGTTTGTTACCTTAACTTGGTAAAATATTTGAATCTTTCAAAAATTCCATCAGATTTAATCAGTGGCGACCATAAGGGGGGTTATTGGGGTTATTTACCCCCCCCCCCAAATTGTATACTAGGACGGACCCTATTATGAATTATGGTAAAGGTTTATAATATTTTTGTAGGTCAAGTCATGAAAGAACTTATCTAACTTCCTCAATCTTCATAAAAAAAAACAGAATTAGTATTCTGTAAATTTATTTCGTAGTTTCTTTCATTTCGTAAAGCTAATCCACATTATATGTTTGATTCTAAATTCTAAAGTAATAGTCAATGTCATTAAAATTAGATGTTTTTTTAATAGAAAAAAAATGGTATGGACAATAAAAAAACATTTTTACTTATAAATAATGTCATTTCCACATTAGATTTTGTTAAGATCTTAACATACTACATTGACAACAAGAAAATTTAACAATGAGTAATGGCCATATTTTTTCAAAGTTTTGCAGAGTAGCTTTTCTAAAGATTTAAAAAAGTAACATCTTTTTCCTCTTAGAGTAAAACTATTATTTTTATATTACTGCCTTTTTTGTCAATGTTTGCTAAAAAGTTTAGTTAAAATTAAATAAATTCAGTTTTTTTACAGATCTTTGTAGTTAGTGTAAAATGAATGACTATAATGAAGTATATAAAACAAGGTGAAAGCTGAAAGGTATGTAATGAAGCCTTTATTAGATTGAGTTTGTAAATCCCAGAAATGAGTGGAAAATGCAAATCAAACCCAATTAAAACCAATAATTTGATATACATCATGATATTTTTCTAGGGGGGGGTAAAAAAAAATTTGCGTGCTTCGCGTGCCAAATTAAAAATATTTACCCCCCCTACAGAATCCTTATGTCCGCCCCTTGATTTAATGTTTCCGGATAATTTAAAAAAAATCTTTTATGGTATGATAAAATCAAGAAAAAAATATTTTTGAATTTTTCGAAGGGCTTTTTAGTGCAGAGCACACCAAGTGTTTATTTACATCTCAGCTATTCAGTTTTAATCATCTGTTTTGTTGAGTACAATCTTTGTTTAAATACCAACCTAGCATCTATAATCTTTATCTCCTTGTATTTATCAAAAGGCTGAATGATGCTGTCTTCCACACTATGTACAATGTGCATTTTGCACACTGAACTTTAAAACAAACATAAGGAGAAACAGAAGATATTTTTTTTAAAATGTATTTAATATACTAGATACGTACATACATGTAACAAACACAAATAATATGTAGAATTTGTGCTACGACAAAGTTGTAAACTGTGGGGACAGGTTGAAACTGCAGAATAAGAGTAGATATTGGAGAAAGTCTGGCATTTCCAGTTACTAGTGTGGCCTCTTTTCAAGGAGAAAAGCTGGCAGGCGGCAAGGGCAGGGCGGGGTTAGCATTTTTCAAAGGGGCCATACAAGGGGATGCAGGGGGTAGGAGATCTCAGACATAACACACTTGAAAATATCTTATAATAGCAATATAGAAATCAATTTAGGGACAATTGTTGTGAGTTCAATAGGTATATAGGTAAATATCAACCCCTCCTCCCCCCCCCCTCTCTCTCTGCTGGTTTCCTGAAGTCTGTCTGAGAGATAGAGAGAGAGAGCGGCCCTTCTACCCAGCTTCTACCCCACTGACTCCTAAGAGCGAGACTGTTAGGTGTGAGCGCTTGGAGCGCAAACCTGAACTTTGGATTTTGATCAGTATAGTATTCAGACTCAGTACTGAGACTGAGTGAGTGGGGTGAGGGTCGGTATTAACCAGTCTTCACTAATCCACCAACCTAAAGACACCCAAATATTTCCTGGATGGAGCCACCCTTCAAGAAACCTAGAATTGCATTTACAAATAACATGTAAGTTCTAGAATTAAATTTAAGGGATTTTTTTTTATTGTTTTGAACTGTTAAGGTCAAACAAATTATCATGTCATTTGGTTAAGAATATCCTATTTGTTACTTAAATTTTCAAAGCTGTTGTAGGGTTAATACCTTTTAGGCATCCATAAATACATGGGGATTGTGTTTTATATTAATTTTATATTATATTAATTAAATTTTATTTATTGTATAGATTTCATCGTTACTTTATATAATGCCCAAACCTAACATGTTGTATGTTTCAGAACTCTTAAATCAGATGAATATAAGGTAAGGCTTAAAATAATAATTACTACAGAACAATTGTCTATGGAGGTCAATGCTCAGTGTTTAAATTGCCAATTTATAATTACAAGGGGGTCATTGCTGAATGTTTTAGAATGACATTATAGCCAATAATGAGCTAAAAAGGGACCATTTTTAAAATTGTAAAAAAATCAAACTATTTAAGAGGCTGATTCTATTTGTATATATGTGGCCAGTAAGAAGGATACTAATCTTTATATTTTGTCAGTAAAAATGAATAAATACAATAGTGGAAAAGAAATACTTTAACAATCTGATCCAGAAGAAAAATGAACGTTAGAAAATGATCTTACTCAAATCTGTTCCAAAACAAATTCAATGGTTCCGGAATGTTCAATCTTAAAAATATTTAAAACATGATATCTCTTTTGCTATCATGAATGCCAATATAATGGAGGCTACTTACAAAAACTACAATGCATACACAGCATGTTGTCTGTTAAAGAAGATTTTCTTTGGAAAAAACTGAAATTTTTGCCAAAGAGAAACTTTTTTCACAGCAAGTAATAAATCGGACTAAAATAAAATCTTTCAGTGCATTTATGAGCGATGCGCTTACAGGCACAGAATGAATAAAGAAGAAATTACTAAGCATCTCAAAGAAGTCCACAAGAAGCAAGAAACAGAAACAGCGGAATCGGGCTACTTCTCGGAGTCTACATGTCAAGGTACTGGCCATAACCATCTAAATGTTCACCTTGACTAAACCTTGGAATGATGCCTCTCTGATCAACTCATAACTGTTGCTCTTTGGCTAAAACAAACTAAGCCACTTCTTCTGGGCAATGGCCAAACTGTTTTTAATCAGTGCTGGTTGATAGTTATTCATTTCTCTGGTTTACTATGGAGTTCAGCAAGATAGTGTTGTCTGTGGACCTATAAGAAGTTGATCTGCTACCCTTATTAAAAAAAATTATATACTATATCTACAATCTACCTGGCAACCTTAAGCAGCTCTGGGTTCATCCATGTTATGCTGAAAAGCACTCCTAGGATCTTGTGAAAATAATATTTTATATACAAAAAATAGGGTTTTATCTTTTAAAATGTTATGACCACATGGCTTTTACTGATACCTACTATAAAACAAGCTGAAATTATTTTTTTGCCTGAATGGCTGCTGGTATCTCTTTGCTCCCCCCACCCCCCCCTATTGAAAAATGGGAAATTTATAGCACAAAAAGAGAGTCAAACTGTAATCACCCCCGCCTCCCCCTCAACTCCAAAAAACAAATTTGTGCCTATGTTCATGGTAATTGTACTGCAAAGTGTACCTGAACGCAAACTTTCAGTTTTTGTTAAAAATTATTTGAGTTTTTGCCACAAACTCCTTATTTGCCTTAAATTTTCAAACTGAAATCTGTTGGATCAAGTAAATTTGAAATATTAAAGGTGTACACTATCAAGTTACAAAGAGATAGGGATAAGAAATAAGAGTTTGTGGAAAGAACTCAATTCCTATGTTACTTGTCAATTACAGCTCCTATTTTTATTCTTCATTAATTCAATTCTAACTAAAACCATAATTTAGAAATGGAAATTAGAGAAATATTTTTTTTTAAATCATTATTATCTTAGACAGGATTTAGTAAATAACAGGACATAGTTGAATTGCATAGACTAAGTTGAACTAATTCTTTTCTGCTTGAATTGGGGCACAAAAGAAGTGGTTCCTCCTGGTCTACCTGGTTTAAATATGTTTGGCTGTTCATTAAAAAATTCAATCAGCTTGATATGTTTTCTAGCTTCTCAACTTGTCTCAACCATGAAAAATTTAAATATTTACATTTCAGATTCAGTGTGCTCTGATCCAACTGAGGAGAGAACCTGGATGGTGAAGCTTCATGAATTTGAAGATCAAACTCCACAACTGTTCCCTAAAACAGAAGATCTTACATCCAAGTGTATTAATCATCCAAGAGGTTGTAAGAAGACTGGAACTTTAAATAAGTTGATATTCCATCAACATGTATGCCGCTTCCCTATGTTCACATCATCTTATAAGTATAACCAGGATTTTGTAAGAACTTTCCGCTGCCAAGGATTTATTTGCACTGTGTTTTCTGATTTGGATAATTTTGTTTCTTTTAACAACAGTTTTATCAAACTGTTAAATATTCAGTTTTTTTTTAAATTGCATAATTTTAAAGAATTGCATATTCAAGGGTTTTGTCTCAATGATCGGTATAAATCTGCGAACTTCAAGTTTAAGTGTAAGTCTGGTCACAAAAGGAAGTCTGCTGCTGGACAGTTAAATAATGGAACATTAAAGATTAAATTTCCTGAAAAGATTCCAGAAAAGAGTATTCTTAAATACACAATACATATTGAGGTACATGATCCTCCTATTACAATATAAAATTGTTTAAAGTTCCAGTGATTTTTTAAATTTTAACTTGTATAAAACTAATCCTTTTAAATTTTCAACTACTTATTCATTAGTTTCAACAGCCTAGTAAATTCTTGTTTTTTGATGTTCTTTGAAATCAAGGAATTTTTTCTTTGCAGTATTTTAATTTTAAGATTATTTTTTTTTTGTCTTGTCAGTAAGTGAGAAAACATTTATGCATTTAATTACAGTTTTTAAACTAAACTTGATATTTCCTGCATTCCTTGATAACAGTAGAAACACTTTTTGTCTAGTTTTATAAATTTTTATATTACTTTGTAAGGTATAAGCATTTTTCTATCTTTACAGTAGTTTTTGTACTGAAGTACTGATGTGTACTTATTTGTCCCTATCTTATCTTACACTATATAGTGATGCTAATATAGATATATTTTTGTAAACTTTTAATTCTTGAATAAATGATAAATTACAAAAATGTTACTAATGATAGTATAATTAATATCCAGTCTCAAGGACAAGTTTGTTACGCATCATGAAGTATAAGAGGTATGGAGTCCCAAAAACATGATATGTTAAAAATTATGCTTTGTCTCCTGCACTTAATTTTAATTGAAACTTTTTCCTTGCAATTTAGGATTTTGAACAAAAATATTGATCTATTTTTTTCTGGGACTCCATTTGATCCAAGGTTACTCTCTTTTGTAAGGCTGGTTTAAAGGCGGAATATATTTTGATGTTGTGTAGGTAGGGACTAGGCTATATTCAAGGCCGTCTGCGTCTACACTGGCACCCTTAAACTACAAAGAATATGGAATTAGAGGCGTTGTTCATTCTAAATGTCAAGTATTAAATATATGGGATATTATACACTTTACAGTACAAACCCCCCCCCCCCCCTCCCTTAAAAAAGTAATTGAATTAACGGGGGGGGGGGGTATACTGTATACTCTCACGACTATTTCATACTATAATAGTAGGGTTGGATAACTCGATACAACCTTGAGAATACATGAGCACTTAATCAGAGTTGTCGACGAGTGTGATTGAATTAAGTAAATTGTACAGGGATTCTCACAAAGAATGAGACTTCAAACACGACATAAAATTCTTAATATATGACGATTCAAATGTTAACATAAAAAGTCTGTTTTTGAAGTCACATTCTTTGCGAGTAGCCCTGTATCATAAAATCAGAAATCCAAACACTTCCAAAAATTATTATTTTTTCTCATTTGATTTTATGTCATACTTGAAAATACTTTCAGTCTGAAATAGCCATTTTAAAGTTATTTCTCTCTTAATCCTTCCATCCTTATAGATATCCTTCTCTTAATCCTTCCATCCTTATAGATATCCTTCTCTTAATCCTTCCATCCTTATAGATATCCTTCTCTTAATCCTTCAATTCTTATAGATATCCTTCTCTTAATCCTTCCATCCTTATAGATCTCCTTCTCTTAATCCTTATAGATATCCTTCTCTTAATCCTTCCATCCTTATAGATCTCCTTCTCTTAATCCTTATATCCTTATGGATATCCTTCCATCCTTATAGATCTCCTTCTCTTAATCCTTCCATCCTTATAGAACTCCTTCTATTCTCTTAATCCTTCCATCCTTATAGATCTCCTTCTTGCAGTTCACCTTTTCTTAATCCTTCAATCCTTGCCGTTCTCCTTCTCTTAATCCTTCCATCTTTACAGATCTCCTTCTCTTAATACTTCCATATTTACAGTTCTCCTTCTCTTAATTCTTCCATGCTTACTGTTCTCTTTCTTTTAATCCTTCCATCCTTACTTTTCTCCTTCTCTTAATCCTTCCATCTTTACAGTTCTCCTTCTCTTAATTCTTCCATGTTTTCAGTTTTCCCTTTTCTTAATCCTTCCATCCTTAAAGTTTTCCGATTCTTAATACTTCAATCCTTACTGATATCTTCCTTCCGTTCTTACAGTTCTCCTTCTCTTAATCCTTCCATTCTTACAGTTCTTTTCTCTTAATCCATTCAACCTTTATAGCTCTCTTCTCTTAATCCTTCCATCCTTACTGTTCTCCTTCTCTTAATTATGTGAACTATGACAGTTCTCTTTCTATCAATCCTTCCATCCTTACAGTTCTCCTTCTCTTAATCCTTCTATTCTTACAGTTCTCCTTCTCCAAATCCTTCCTTTTTACGGTTATCCTTCTCTTAATCCTTCAAACCTTACAGTTCACCTTATCTTAATCCTTCCATTCTCCTCCTTCTCTACATCCTTTAATTCATTCTTTCTTCTTCTCTGAATTCTTCGTTCCCTTAATCCTTACAGTTCTTCGTCTCTTACTCCTTCCATCCTTGCAGTTCTCCTTTTCTTAATCCTTATTTTAATCTTTCCTTCCTTACATTTATCCTTCTCATAACCCTTCCATTCTTAAAGTTCTTCTATTATTATTCTTTCTGTCCTTGCAGATCTCAAATTTTTAATCCTTTCATTCTTCCAACTATCCTTCTCTGTGGCTATCCTTACAGTTCTCCTTCTATTAATCCTTCCATTCTTACTGTTCTCCTTCTCTTAATCCATCCAACCTTTATAGTTTTCGTTCTCTTAATCCTTCCATCTTTGCAGTTTCCCTTCTATTAATCCTTCCATCCTAACAGTTCTCCTGTTCTTAATCCTCCCATCCTTACAATTCTCCTTCTCTGAATCCTTCCGTCCTTACAGTTCTCCTTCTCTTAATCCTTCATCCTTGCAGTTCTCCTTCTCTTAACCCTTCCATCATAAAAGTTCTCCTTTTTTAATCCTTCCATCCTTTCAGTTCTTCTTCTACTAATCCTTCCAACCTTTACAGTTCTCTTTCTTTTGATCCTTCCATCTTTACAGTTCTCCTTCTCTTAATCCTTCCTTCCTGACAGTTCTCCTTCACCTAATCCTTCCACCCTTACAGTTCTCCTTCACCTAATCCTTCCAACCTTTCTAGTCCTCTTTCTTTAAATCCTTCCATCCTTACAGTTCTCCTCCTCTTAATTCTTTCATTCTTACAGTTCTACTTCTCTTAATTCTTCCATTCTTACAGTTCTCCTTCATTTAACCCTTCCATCCTTACAGTTCTCCTTCTCTTAATCCTTTAATTCTTACAGTTATCCATCTCTTAACCCTTACATTCTTACAGTTATCTTCCTCTCAATCCTTCAATCCTTTTAGTTCTCCTTCTTGTAACCCTTCCATCCTTACAATTCTCCTTCTTTTAATCCTTCCGTCATTAAAGTTCTCCTTCTCTTAAATATTTCAATCCTTCCAGTTCTCCTTCTTTTAATCCTTCCATCATTACAGTTCTACTTTTTAAAATTCTACCCCCCCCCCCTTACAGTTCTATACTTATCTTAATCCTTACATCCTTTCAATTCTCCCTCTCTTAATGCTTTCATTCTTACAGTTCGCCTTCTCTTAATTATCTAAATTCTATTTCTAACAGTTCTCCTTCTCTTAATCCTTCCGTTCATACAGTTCTCCTTCTCTTAATCCTTCCATCTTTACAGTTCTCCTTCTCTTAACCCAAACATTCTTACAGTTCTCTTCCTCTCAATCCTTCAATCCTTTTAGTTCTCCTTCTTGTAACCCTTCCATCCACCTTCTCTTAATCCTTCCATCATTACAGATTTCCTTCTCCTAATCCTTCCATTCTTACAGTTCTCCTTCTTTTAATCTTTCAATTCTTACAGTTCTCCTTCTTTTAATACTATTCCAGTTGGAGGGGGGGGGGGTCCCTAAGATCCCCCCGGGCATTTTTGGAGTTAACGTAAAAAGTATTGGTCTGATACCATTAAATTTTTTTACTTTTCTAACTAACTCACTTTAGGTTCAAAGCTAGTCCTCAGGCATACTGCCTGAATTCCTTATTTTACCTTTACCCAAACAAATTTAATTTTAGACCTACTTCCGGTCATTGGATTCTGACTTTTTATTGGTCATTGGAAAGCCTTGAACATAAAAAAAGCAGATTACGAAGATGTTGTGCATAGATTTTTGCACAGATGCCTTTAAAGAGAATTTGCAAATTTTCAGTTTTCCTTGAATACAAATTTAGTTTTTAAAACTTTGCAAATATTTTTGCATATTTGAATTCGCCGTGGTAAGAACTTTTTAAAAATCATATCATATCTTGTGCACTTTTTGTTTATGCACAATTTTTGCTTAATAACTTGAAATTGCAATAAATATTTGAAATTTTGCACATTTGCTAATTTTTTGCAGTTTGTTAAAGTAGAGCCCAAGGGATTTCCAAAATGAATAAAGTGTTTTAGATTTGTATCACAATAAGGAAATAGACTAGTTTGGGTAAAACTTTGTCAGCCTGAATAGAGTTAATCCTTCCATTCTTACAGTTTCCTTGTCTTAATCCTTCCATCCTTACAGTTTTCCTTCCTTATTCCTTCCATCCTTACTGTTCTCCTACTCTTAGACCTTCCATTCTTACAGTTATCCTTCCTTAATCCTTCCATCCTTACTGTCCTCCTACTCTTAGGCCTTCCATTCTTACAGTTCTCCTTAGCTCTTGATTTTTCCAGTCTTATCGTTCTCCTCCCTAATCCTTCAATCCTTACAGTTCTCTTAATCCTTCCCTCCTTACAATTCTCCTTCTCTTAATCCTTCCAATCGTATCGTTCTCCTTCCTTAATCCTTCAATCCTTACACTTCTTCTTCTCTTAATCCATCCTTCTCTGCAGTTCTCATTCTCTTAATCCTTCTATCCTTACAGTTCTCCTTCTCTTAATCCTTCAATCCTTACACTTCTTCTTCTCTTAATCCATCCTTCTCTGCAGTTCTCATTCTCTTAATCCTTCCATCCTTACAGTTCTCCTTCTCTTAATTCATCCTTCTTTACAGATCTCATTCTCTTCATCCTTCCATCTTTACAGTTCTTCTTTTCTTCATCCTTCCTATCCTTACAGTTCTCCTTCTCTTAATCCATCCTTCTCTACAGTTCTCATTCTCTTAATCCATCCTTCTCTACAGTTCTCATTCTCTTAATCCTTCTATCCTTACAGTTCTCCTTCTCTTAATCCTTCTATCCTTACAGTTCTCCTTCTCTTAATCCTCCTATCCTTACAGTTCTCCTTCTCTTAATCCTTCCATCCCTACAGTTCTCCTTCTCTTAATCCATCCTCCCTATAGCCTGCCAAACGGCTGAACCGAATGGGCTGACATTTTTTGTGGACACTCATAGGTAGTAGCCTTGGAGTGACATAGGTTTAAAAAATTCGAATTATTTTTTGTTTCAACATTTTTTTGCCATAGTTCCAGTTCTCCTAGTTCCTTAATACTTTACCTTTTTTAAAGGTATTTTTCTTCTCTTGCTCAATTAAATTTGAGATTATTATGTCATTATTTTTTGTTTGATAAACAAATAAGGGCAGAGTTTATTTTTGTCGCCAAAAAAGTTTTCACAATTTTTTATGCTTAAAGTCAGTAACCGCTATTTTGCAATTTTA